CCATGGACTTCTAAGAGAACCCTACACGCATTTCCAAAAACAAACTGCTTGATGTTGTCATGGAAAACCTGGATCTTTGCATTCTACGGTTTCACGATGGATTATATCCAGGTCACGACCTAAGGAAGACAGCCGGCAAAAAGCCAACCCTGCTGGCTGATCACCGGCTTTTGTAACGAATCCCAAAGGGATGCGAACCGATGTGTGCTCCTGGCTCTGCCAAGTCCTTGGACAAGTTCTCACCTCTGAAGACCAATCAGCCTGTGGTTTACTCCGCCAGGAGGCTCTAGGAAGCCACCTGCAATCAACATTCAATGGCTAGAAGCTGCCTCCAGAAGGTGAAGGAATGGAAAATGTGCATGTCAGGGGAAGGGGAGTGGGAGGAAGGAGCTCTTTGTTTTCCTGTCAATTTGACTGCCCTCTCCTGCTTTTTAAAAAAATGATCTGAGGACACCCCTGGTTACATCAAAGCCACAGGACTGCTGTGCGCCCTGAGCTCCAACACAGGCAGGCTCTTAAGGACAGGGAAGGACCCTACACACTGTATTTGTGTTTGATTTGAACAGAATAAGGTCAATTCTAAAAGCTACAAGATATCCCTGTTCCTTAGAATGCAACAAATCCGGGAAACATATAATATACTAAAACTTGCCAAGAAAGCAGAAATACTTTGATAATGATTCTATAGCTACCATTTATTATTTACTGTGTGTTAAGCACTATGCTTAAGCCTTTTTATGTAGCATCTAACTTAATCCTCAAAACAGTCCTGAGGTATAAAGTATTATACCCATTTTACAAGTGAGAAAACTATGGCTCAGAAAAGTGAGGCAAATTGGTCCGTGTTTCAAAGGCACATTCAGGTGAGGCTTGACCCCTCATTACTGCGTGAGTGCTGAACATCAAGGACACGTGCACAGTATTTAGAAAGTATCAGCCGGATGTCCACCATTAGGCCAGGCCCTGAAGGCAGATCCTGCTATCTGGACTCACGTAACAGGCAATAGTTATATTTCATTACTGTTTAAATTAGCCCAGAGTTTGGGATTTCCACTGAAGTAGCAGATTCTTTCACACCCGATTTCTAAACTCGGACAAGATTTTGATTAATTGTGCTGTGTTTTTTATAGACAGTGAAGGCTACACAAGCCTGTGGCCTATTTATATCTTAAAATTAGGTATAGCAAAATAATATGCTTACGATCATTTTTCATCCAGTCACATTTTTGCCAAAATGTAAGGTGTAAGAACAAACACAGCCTGAGTATATTTCTAAAGAATCTTTTCGTTGCTCTGGCAACGGGCTCCTTTCTCACCATTTGTTTCAGTGTTGAAGAGATCCAGGGCTGAGGGAGACGGGGCATAGGGAGAGAAGAAGCCGGTGCTCACAGCTGCAGCAAGTCCTTGCTGAGGCTGGGGCTGACCAGAGGCTATCACAGATTGGCCAACGGGAGAAAGCCAGCCAGCCCTTTCGGATGCCAGTGTGGCAACGTCCTCAGCCACGGATGCAAGAACCACAGCGCCCCTTACACTGGCTTGAAGTGCATGATGAGACCTCCGATAGGGGAGAAAGCGCCCACTGAGTATCCCTTGCAGGTGTGACCCCCAAACATAAGAAGTATAGCTCAGTCCCTCTTTTTCATGATTTCTTCTCTGAAGGGTGATGCTAGGCTGGACAGAGAAAAGAAACCAGTTATTTCCTGCATTTCAGCACTTAGATCAGTGGCTCCTAGACAGCAGTGAAACTATGCAGGAATCTCTGCCTCCTGCCAATTTAAAATTCTGAGTAATTTAAGAATTTTTAAGATGCTGCATAGGTAACAGGAGTAAGGAGGAAGTTAAAGCTTCTAGACTGGAAAGAGGCAGAAGATCAGCACCAGCCCTCAGGAGTGCTCCTACTTCTTTCTCCTCAACCCTCCTCCCAGAGGCCTTGTGGAGACAGAAAAGTAAGAAAAACTCATTGGAGGCCAGGCACAGTGGCTCACACCTGTAATCCCAGCACTTTGGGGGCGGAGGTGGGTGGATCACTTGAGGTCAGGAGTTTGAGACCAGACTGGCCAACATGAGGAAACCCTGTCAATACTAAAAATACAAAAATTAGCCGGGCATTGTGGCGGGCGCCTGTCATCCCAGGAACTTGGGAGGCTGAGGCAGGAGAACCGTTTGAAACTGGGAGGGGGAGGTCTCAGTGAGCCAAATCATGCCATCGCATTCCCACCTGGGCAACAGTGTGAGAATCTGTCTTAAAAAAAAAGAAAAGAAAAAAGAAAAAAAACTCCCTGGAGCGTTCGAACACCGGAGAGCCATACTAATCTTTGTGCAATAATGAACACCGTGCCATTAATGTGAGGCACACGAGAGTACCAGAATGTGTTGGACTAATCCACATTCAGAGATGGAATTCACTCAACACCTTATTATACACTGCATGTAAATAGTCTTGAAGGATACTATGCTTTGCTTCTGAATGACTGCCAAAGATAGGTTTAGTGTTATGGCCCAAGATGTCCCACCCCTTCCAGTAAATGGCCACTGGTTTACTGGAAGATAGTGGGATCATCAAGTTTCTCAGGATAAGAAGCACCCCTACATGACAAACCAGGAGTCTCATCTACATACCAGCAAATCAATAAAGCCCATAATAAAGGCATGAACTCATCAAGGATGTACAAATACAACAGAGCGAGGGAACAGTAAACAGAAATCCTTCTCTCTGGTCAACCAGGGCTCTTCAACAGGATTAATAAATTGTGTGTGCTGACTTCCCTTGAGCTACATGTTTGACTCTTCAAAAGCCTTCAGTAACATTTCTCTGCAAAAGTTTTAAGATATACACATGCATGCATACACACACACACACACACACACACACACACACCCCCCTGAGGCACCTTGTGTCCAAGGAGAATAAAGCAGGGACATTTCTCTGATAAGAAAATGATGGGCCGGGCGCGGTGGCTCAAGCCTGTAATCCCAGCACTTTGGGAGGCCGAGAGGGGCGGATCACGAGGTCAGGAGATCGAGACCATCCTGGCGAACACGGTGAAACCCCGTCTCTACTAAAAAGTACAAAAAAAGTAGCCGGGTGAGTTGGCGGGCGCCTGTAGTCCCAGCTACTCGGGAGGCTGAGGCAGGAGAATGGCGTGAACCCGGGAGGCGGAGCTTGCAGTGAGCTGAGATCTGGCCACTGCACTCCAGCCTGGGCGACAGAGCGAGACTCCGTCTCAAAAAAAAAAAAAAAAAAAAGAAAATGATGACTCAGTCTTGAAACCCACCTTTAACATTTCTGGGTGGTGAGATGCCAAGCTGAAGGGGAGAGACATCTTCAGAAGTGAGTCAAAAGGGGACAAGGAGCTTCACAGAATCAAACTCTAAGCCTAAAAATTCTAAAAGAAGGTCGTATTTTCCAATCTTCCTATTTTTCAGAAGGAGAACGCTGAGACCCGGGGTGGTACATTTATCTCATATGAAACTGCTATTGAGGAGCAATGCTGAAATACAGAATCCTGGTCTCCCAAATTCCATGAGTGCCTGGGTCACTTGTGGTATGGCTGATCCTGGCAGATGGAGAGATGAGGGACCTGAGACTTGTCCCTTTGGGCCAGAAAGTTTAAGGGGCCTGGTGTCTGGATGGTGTATTCCTCCATGAAAACAAATCAGAACTAAGGAGCAGGCCCTCTGTCATTTCTCTTGGCCCATTACTCCCCATCCCCCACCTCCACCCTACACAGGGGCCTCCTAAGATTTGAGGAACAGTAAACTTTATCTTATCGGCTGTTTGGGAAAAAACTGTCATTTGATCTGTTTATTTGGAAGCCAGCCCTGCTGAGCTCAAGAGTTTGCTATGAGGCCGGCTAGAGTGAATTCGTTTGGGGGCTGCTGCTTTACTGCCCTGGACACATGGCTCAGTGTATAACTTTATTTTGAAGAATCCTGTGCACACAGCTCTAGAATTTGCTGAGGGATGAATCACCTGTGCCCTTCATTTAGGGTTGTAGGTGGGTAACTTTGTCCTGTTAGAGTCTAGATTAATGTCTTGGTTAAAAAGTAAGCACCTGTTTTCTGAATATCAAAGCAAGAGTCTACTCCTCTACTTCTTTGGGGATGTCTTCAAACTCAGCTGTGTGTTTGTGTGTGAATTTCTGTCACCCAGAACAAGAACCTGGAATCAAACCTAGACAGACTATTATCCCATTGGTTCAGGACCCACCTTTCAAACCCACGCAGGGAAGCCTACAAAAGTGCTGGTAGCCGTGGATGCTTTCCCTGCAGCTCACAACCTTCTCCCTGGGACCACTGTAAAGAGCTCATCCTTTTCTTTTCGCCCATTTCTAATAAGCTCGTGAGTGAGAAATTCCCAGAAAATGGAAGAGTTAGCTTGCATTTTCTGATCTGAGTGCACAGAACATTCTGTCAGGCTCTAGGAGACAGACAATTTAAACCAGAACCACACTAAACACACAGCAGCTGATACTAATTCCTTCCTAGCCCCTGTCTTCCCTGCCCAAGCTGAAATCATCTGGGGGCTGGAGCGGAGAGTGGATGGGGAAGCAGGCTTGCTGCTTCTTAATGAGCGACCCCACTTACATTCCTCTTAGCATCGAGTGCTTGCTGAAGGTGGGACTCACGCTTTCCATAATTCCTCAGGGAGTTGCACTGAAGTGGAGAGCATGCTTTTAATTTAATGGGAAACACAAAAAGTAGGAGTAGTTACTCAAACCAAAACCAACACCTTAGACCCTGAGGAAATAAGCAATGAGGAGGACCATGTAACACCAGAGAAGAGCAAGCCCGTTTTCTTGTGGGGTAAGACAGGGGAAAGAGGCCCATGCGAGCAGCACACAAACGTCGCCTAGAACGGAAGGGGCAAAGGAAACCTGATTAGAGAGAAAATGGTCTTCTCCAAAACTGGCAGGAAGCAAATGCCCGGTGCCAGAGTGCGCTGCACCGGCAGCTCTCCATCCCTGCATCCCACCGTGCCCGGGGTCCTGCCTTCTTACCTGCAATTCCTTGCAACAGCCCACAGACGTTGAAGATGCTTTTCTTCATGATGCTCTGTACACACATGGTGAAGACGGACACCAAGGCCACCATGCAGAGAATAAAGATTCCCACAGCCAGGAAAATAGCTGTGGCCTGCCAGAAGCCGCTGGCGATCTCGCCGAAGCTCTCGGCGTAGGGCCCGCACAGCGTGTCCCGCTGGAAGTGCTGCATCCCTGGGTTCCGGATGCAGCGGGCGTAGATGCCCAGGGTGGGGTGGTAGGGCTCGGGGGAGCCCCCGCCTGGGCCCGCCGGCTCCGCGCCGCCGCGGCTCCTCGCTTTCCCGACCAGCCAGTCTGCGCTCATGAAGGCAATGAGCTCGGCAAAAGCCACTACAATACTCAGCAAGGTCCAGAGCATCGAGCGACAGGTGACAATGACATGACACATATTGATGTTCCAGGCGAAGAAAGAGTCAGGAGTCCACGGAGTTAATCAAAAAAAGAAAGTCGGTGGGGAAGGAGGCTCGGGCGGCCCGGGAAGGAAGTCGCAGCTGCAGTCATTCACTCCCGCCGCCGGCCGCGTTCATGCTGGGGACAGCGCTCCCGGACCCAGAGCACCGCCTGCGGCCTCACCTAGGGGAGAGGGAGGGCGGTTAGCAGCGCCGCCAGGCCCCGCCCCGCCTTCCCGCCGCGCAGCGACACAGTCCAAGCCCGGCCCGCGCCCGCAGAACCCTGCCAGCAAGCCCCGGGCCGGCCAGCATGCCAGGCGGTTGTTGCACTCGCTGCGTTTGTTTCAAGTTCTCCCTGACATCACTGCACTCAGAACTCTATGTGGCAGTTAACCTTCTCTCTTGGGAGCGCGATGGAAGGAGGCGGCTAGTGCCAGGTCCTGCTCCCAACCCAGGGAGCACTGTCCCGGTTGCTGCTGCACTCTTAGGACAGGGCTCCCGCTCCCTCATCTTTTACTGGAAAAAGTCAAACAGCACAGGGATCCAGAGTGGAGGAGGCAAGAATGGCAATCAACTCTATTAGTGGATTTTTTTTTTTTTTTTAAGTTTGCAAGACTTTTTGGCCTGCTGTTTTGGTACTAGGTGAGTTAAGTTTTGCGAAACTTGCACCAAGCGCTTTTGCTTAACAGTAGAGAGTAGCAACACCCCACTTTTATTTCCTGGAAATTAAATTACTAGCAGAGACATGTGTGTTTGCTTCATAGGTAAATAAGAAACAATCCCATGAAAAAGAATAAACAAAACATTGCTCCCACACCTATATTTCATCCATTTTTCACAGGGTGATTTTTAGACAAAATAATTTACACTAATTAAAACTCAGAGGGAAAAAAACCTTAAGAGTTCATGCCTTACTTGAGGAAATTATTTTTAAAAGACATTAATGACCGTTAACTAAGCATCATTACAACTGAGTGGACTTGTTGACAACAGAACCTTGTCTATGAAGAATGCATCCCTTGAATTGTCCCAATTCATCCCATGTGCCTCTGCCTAAGCTTCGATTCACCCCAGGTCTGGAACTCAACGTGCCCATTGTTTCTCATTTCACAGAGGCCTCATTCTGTCCCCAAGGAGGAATGACTTCATTACCAGAAGACATTGCTCCAATGGCTCAAGCCTTCTTCAGAGGAGTCTAGACCCTGAAATGGGGGCCAGCAGTGCTGGTCTGCAGCCCCGTTTTCTGCCCCATTTCAAGGCCAAGAACAATCCCTCAGCTTACATCTGGGCACATGGCCCTGCTCTGAATGATTAGATCTCATTAACTGAGGTCAAGTCAACTCCATGAGAACTGCAAAGAGCCCCCTGGCATGTTGGGAGTGGGGTGAGGCAGGGAGTTATCAAAGAGGAAGAGAAGCGGGGAAATAAGGAAGCCCAGTGTCAAAGCTTAAAATGCCCGTTTCTACACCCTGCACCAGCTGTCTGCCTGCTGGCTGACTTCCTAGTTAGCATGTGATCTACCCATCCCTTGAAACATGATGTATTTTAAAATCGTCATATCATGGTGGTTGCTATACAAGATGCTATTTTGGGGACACAGCTCGTGCACTACTAGGAACATATGCACTTAATTGTCAGGGTGTGTGTGCGTGTGTCACAACACTATGCCGAACACTGGGTAAGGGAAGGGAGTCCATCAGGTATGGGTTCCAAAGCCAGCTCCAGTACTGACCATGTGCATGTCTAACTTCTCAGAGCTTCCTCGTCTGAGCTGGTAAGGGTAGCCTACCTCACCAGATTATTGCAAGGAATGAACAAGAACCTACTGAATCACCCACACAGTGCCTGGCAGAGTAAGTGCTCAACAAGTATCAACTCCTTGCCCTCAGAAGCTTTTCCTGCAACATAGATGACACCGTTCAGACAACTATTGGTCCAGTGGAGGTGCCCAGTAGATTACAGAAACCTGGCCACTGCACACAGAAAACATTAAGCACAGGCTACTTAGAGATGGACGAGGTCACTCATGTCTAAACTTTCCTGGCTGCCTTCAAGGGCAGAGTCCTGGTCTTCCTGTTTCCCCACTACCTAACTCAGCTGCCAATCCACCTGGTGGAGATAAATTAGCATTCAGCCAGAAGGTATAGCCTACTCCAACTGACTCATTCTCAGCTCCTCCTCCAGATAGTACCGAATAGAAAGCCTTTTGAGGCCGGGCGTGGTGGCTCAAGCCTGTAATCCCAGCACTTTGGGAGGCCGAGACGGGTGGATCACGAGGTCAGGAGATCGAGACCATCCTGGCTAACACGGTGAAACCCCATCTCTACTAAAAAAAATAAAAAACTAGCCGGGCGAGGTGGCGGGCACCTGTAGTCCCAGCTACTCGGGAGGCTGAGGCAGGAGAATGGCGTGAACCCGGGAGGCGGAGCTTGCAGTGAGCCGAGATCCGGCCACTGCACTCCAGCCTGGGCGACAGAGCGAGACTCCGTCTCAAAAAAAAAAAAAGAAAGCCTTTTGAGAAAAAAGTTACTGAGGGCTTTAGAGGAGATTGTTTATAATGAAAATAATCATTCTAAAAGAGAACAAGAAAATGAACCAAAAAGACTCCCAGGAGGCCCTGAGAGGCTGCACGTGCCCACCAGGCTCACAAATACTTTGAGTCCACAGGTGGCAATCCCAGCCTGTTGAGTGCTTTATATAAAGCCTTCCCATTTGATTAGAAAATCATTTTAGTTATGCCCAGCCAATCACTGTCCCATCCCTTTTCTGTTAAATGTAATTTTTCTTTTTTCTTTTTTTTTTTTGAGACAGGGTCTTGCTCTACCGCCCAGACTGCAGTGCAGGGGTGCAATCTCGGCTCACTGCAAACTCTGCCTCCTGGATTCACTCCATTCTCCTGCCTCAGCCTCCCGAGTAGCTGGGACTACAGGCGCCTGCCACCATGCCTGGCTAAATTTTTTTTAGAGAGGATGGGGTTTCGCCATGTTGGCCAGGCTGGTCTCAAACTCCTGACCTCAGGTGATCCACCCACCTTGGCCTCCCAAAGTGCTGGAATTACAGGCCTGTGCCATTGCCCCAGCCTGAATGTAATTTTTCAATGAGAACATTCATATTTGTCCTCCTGCAGAACTGCAGGGCTCCTACAACCTCTCAGGTGACTTGTATCTTAATGACTACTCCAGTGTTCACTGCCCTGGCCAGCAAGGTCTGCTCAGAGTGAGGAATGCAATTAGTTTGCAGCATCTGAAGAAAAAGGCTGTAAAAGTTCAGGAGAGGAGAAGATGGGACGTCTGGGCTTAGCAAAATGCCTGAGAACTATCTGAAGGCAGGATTGCTTAAGGACCCACATGCTTAAGTTAAAATAATATAGTTCCCTCTCCTTTGTGCTAAAACATTTCCTCATTCACTGCACCAAATTCTCACACTCACACAAGATTGGCTGGGATGAGGGCTTCATTATTCTGTTTTCAACGGGGGGAAAAGATGCTCTGTTCTCCCTAGTAAGTTTGCTAACTTCTACTCTCAGAGGAACAGTTGTGATACGCAAGGCTGACTAAAACTGAGGCTTCCTGGGGGCTGTGATATGGTTTGGCTGTGTCCCCACCCAAATCTCATTTGAATTATACTCCCATAATTCCCACGTGTTGTGGGAGGGGTCTGGTGGAAGATAACGGAATCATGGGGGTGGATCCTCCTTACTGTTCTCATGGTAGTGAATGCATCTCACGAGATCTGATGGTTTTATAAGGGCAACCTCTTTTGCTTGGTTCTCATTCTTTCGTCTGCCACCATGTAAGACATGTCTTTCGCCTTCCACCATGTTTGTGAGGCATTCCCAGTCATGCAGGACTGTGAGGAGTCCATTAAACCTCTGTTTCTTTATCAATTACCCAGTCTAGGGTATGTCTTTACCAGCAGTGTAAAAACGGACTAATAGAGGCTGCAAGCAAAGTTCTTAGGGTGGCAGGACAAGGGACCATCTCGAAGTGCAGCAGGGGTCTTCTGCAGTGGTCTGTGCTCTGTGAAGTGTACCAGTTTGGCGAAGTGTACTCAAAGGCAGGTACCTACTGAGACATCTGTATCAAACGGGAAAGAGATCCTCATGACAGAACTCTGTTAACCACAGGGATATGGTGCACAGCCCTCCTCGGCCTGGCATCCGTTGCTATTAACCGTAATGCCTGCTTCCACAAAGCCCACTTCATAAACCAGGCCTTCACTGCCATTCTACGTAAACGACTTCTCTCCATGGGCCACTAAATATGTTTCCCTTCAAGAACACCTGACCTTACTATCGCATCCCTGGTGATTGTGGATAATCTAGACAGCCCTCTTGATGTTCAGAAAACGATGACTGGCACAAAGGTGTGCAAAATAAAGCCTCTTCACTTAAAAAAAAAAAAAAGACAAATGAGAATCCTGCAGAAACCTACATTAATACCATAGGATAGGGAGCAAAGAGGAGTTTCTAAATGGCTGGTCTGTGGGAGTCAGTCCTGTGTACGGATTCTTCCCAGAGCCCTACTTTGAAAAGGTAGAGTGAAGGTCCTCAGCAGAGCTGAGCTGGGGTTTGTCACTTAAATCCCGGGTCTGTCTTTGGCAGCTTCCTGCTGTCAGCAGGGAAGAAAGTACATGTGAAGCCAGAACCACCCAGTGCCCATCGGCTGGATCATCCGGACAGAAACTCAGGAGCAAAGTTCTTATCTACCTGGAAAGAATAAGGGAAACCGGAAAGACGTTGATCAAGGCGGCATCAAAAAGCTCTCAGTCCCCATCCTGATGGGAACAGCACACCCAAAGAATGAGGCCAGGACAAACAATGTTTCGAAGAACACTACCTTGCTTACTCACCCTGGTTCTGTTTTTCAACTTTATTATGAACGTTTTCAAACATAGATATGAGTTGGCAAGAACAGACAATGAACACCCACATACCCAACACCCAAATTCAACATTTGTTAACATTTTCCCGTATCTGTTCCATCAATCTGTAGCATACACACTCACACATTTTCTCAAATATCTGAAAATGAGTTGCAGATGTTTTGACACTTCACCCCTAAATACTTTAGCATACACCTCCTAAAAATAAGAACATTTTCCCATATAACCACAACAAGATTAGGACACTCAAGAGAATGGACAATAATCCCCTTATACCCAAAGTCTAGTTCCTACTAAAAT